TGTTTACAGCCAGATCTAAGCTTGTGCTGACTAGGTTTAGCAGACCTGTGCGAATGTTACTGTGTCAGGGCACAAAGAGAAATCCCACAGATACCAAGACTAGGAATTTTTTTTTTTTAAGACTCATTCCAGGTGGGCTCAGTGGTAATCAGCCTGTAATCCCAGCACTTTGGGAGGCCAAGGAGTGTGGATTGCCTGAGCCCTCAGGTTCAAGACCAGCCTGGGCAACTTAGTGAGACCTCGTCTCTACAATAAATCAAAATTTAGCCAGGCGTGGTAGCACGTGCCTGTAGTTCCAACTACTTGGAAGACTGAGGTGGAAGGATTGCCGGAGCCTAGCAGGTGGACGCTGGAGTGGCCGTGAGCATCCCATTACACTCCAACCTGGGCGACAGAGTGAGACTCTAAGTCAAAAAAAAAAAAGAGAGAGAGACTTATTCCATTTCTTTTTACTATTTTTGTGGGAAAAGTACAGATTAAAATCATAGCAAAAAGAGAGCTCTTCTTAATTATGTACTTCTGGTGAGTATCGGTAAAAGAAAATTCTGAGGACAGACCAAAAAAAGACATTAAGAGGTCGGTCTTGTTGTGGCCTCAGGCAAATCACTAATCTCACTATTCCTAAACTAAGGCTTTGAATAACTCAGAAGGAAAATGATCCTCAGAAAGTCCCCTTCCTGATAGGGCACAAATGTACTGTGGTTTCTTTTTTTTTTAACCGTACTTGAAATTCATATTAGCAAAGATTGGTGCAAAAGCCTAATTCGATTTCTCTTCCAATTAAAGCGGAAGGAAAGGAGTGAAAATAAGACTTGAAGGGGGTAGGGGCCAGCGGCTCCAATGGCAACCTCATTCTGCCTGAGTAACTGGGTGCGATCTCCTCTGCCATGCTTCGCATTAACATATCACCCACACAACTGTGCAAGGTGACTTTCAGCATTCATTTGGACAATGATACGGAAGCAGGAATGGATTTCTAAAGATACCTAAAATTAACTTCAAAATTCAAGTGAATAAGATTACATTGTTTAATAACGAGGACAGATACTCCAGACCTATAAAAGCTAGAGAGATGATTTTTATGGTTAAAAACAACAGCAAAAAAATAACAGCAGTAAATCTGTAGATCAAATAACAGTGATGCTGGAACAGCCAACAAATTACAGTAAGTCCTCATCTGACAATGCTGATAGGTTCTTGCAAACTGCGACTTTAAGAAACACATACAGCAGGTCCTTGAATAACCTCACGCCCTTCAATGGTTTTGTGATATGACCATTGCATTTCACTGAAAGTCACAGTTTGCAAGAACCTATTGATGATTTTGGAGGAAGACTGACTCACTGGATTAGTAATCTCGTCCCTAGAGATGACACTAAATGCAGTTGTCTTTCTAGAAGAAACTGAAAGTCATTTCTTCCTATAAATCAGAAACAACAGTAATACCTTTATCAGTAGAAGCTTATGAGGAATATGAGTCATTCCAAATCTCCGATGGCTGTTTTTTTTATTTTTTTATTTTTTATTTTTTTTTTTGAGTTGGAGTCTCACTCTGTCGCCCAGACTGGAGTGCAGTGGCCGCTCCCGGCCACCGTGGCCTCAACCTGCTGGGCTCCGGCAATCCTTCCGCCTCAGCCTTCCAAGTAACCAGAATTACAGGCGCGCGCTACCATGCCCAGCTAATTTTTTGATTTTTTATTATAGAGATGAGGTCTCGCCTGCCCTGGCGGGTCTCGAACCCACAGGCTCAGGCAATCCACTCACCTCAGCCTCCCAAAGGTGCGGGATTACAAACTGAGCCACCGAGCCTGGCTTGATGGCTTTTTATTTGCTTTTTATTTATTTTTATTTTTATTTTATTTTATTTATTTATTTTTTTGAGTTGGAGTCTCACTCTGTCGCCCAGACTGTAGTGCAGTGGCTGG